TGCTGCGTAGTTACGGATAGAAATTTTCGAAATGGTCACAGCTACGGTCGTGAACGTTCAGACTAGTTTTGAAATTAGAACTTCCGAGAGATCAGCCCACATCACTGATAGTAAAATAAAATGCCATGCCTACTGACCCGCTGATGAAGTATGATAAAAATAATCCAGAAAGCCAAAAGTTCAAAAATCGAAGCATTAAAACGACCATTCTGATCATGATTGTTGATGCTTGGAACTTGGAACAGCCACTACCAGACACCTGATTTGTTTTCAAAATACCCAAAATGTTTTGGGGTGTGAAGCGATCATATACCAGGCGGTAGGCAAGTAGACAGCGTTGAGAAATACTTATTCCGCCGATTGTTATGAAGGCCGATCGTGTCGGTGTCACAGTTTTGAAGCACTGTCAGTTCAGCTCAACACCACGCTACAAAGGACGCTTTGGGGTACTGCCGGTGCTAACTCAATTTTACAGTTGACATAGGAATTGCATGAAAGAACCGGACAGAAACACTTCATACGGTGGCGTAAATCCCGAAAATATATCAGCGATGTCACTTTCCTCGGTTAGGGCTATCTGCTTTGTCAACGAATGAAGAACATTTCGATAAAATAAAGAGCGGAAAATACTCCCCATGTCAAGTCTTCTCATCGCAGTCACTGGTTGATGTCCTACCGTGGTAATTCCCGGCCCTTCGAACGCACTAGCACTTTGTAGAGTCACATTTCCAGCGATTCCGCGCCGCACACGAACGAAGGTAAACAATCAAGGCCGCGGAGTGTTCCCCGTGTTGACCTCACCGTCAGCGCGGTGTGACAGGGTTGTCGGACAACAAATCCGGCAACACGGCTGCCGGGCGGCAGCAACATGTTGCCCGACTGTTGTTGTTGCCGCGATGTGACAGGGTCGCCGGCAACACGACTTTCTCGTGTTGCCGGATAGAGTTGTCCAACTGTTGCCTCAGTGTGACAGGGCCTTTATCGCTTCACGGAAAGACAGACTTCGGATCCTAGTCCTAACGGCCGAACTGGCCGAACTTCGAAGTTGTCGGCGGTCCGGCGATTGGACAAGGCAAGCCGGCCGCGCTGCGCTGACCTAGGCTGAGCACGCCTGGTTGAACTATGAGAAGCGCCGACCAGTTGAGAGCCAAAGTCGCAGTAAACCAGACTTCCAAACATCCGTCCCGTAAAACGTAGAAAGAGCCGACGACACCCATGCCGCTCGCTACGTCTCCGCCATCTCCGCGACGACGGAAAGCGGGGAACAGTGTTGCCAAATCAAAAATTGAAAACCCGCTGTCGGAATCCCGAAAAGCGCTAAATATAAAACACAGCACAAAAATGACTTTTTCATTTTTCTGCTTTTATTTTTGTTTCAAGGTTTAATAAGAGTATAGATCATATCAATGTCATCTGAAAGGATCTGTCACGTCATGCCACTGTTCGCCCAGATGATCCAAAGCCGAAACTGCGGAGTGAGCGCATACCAACACAGCAAGGGACCCTCCAGCAGTGCGTGACTGGTCAGACTTCCGTTCAACTCGTGGTGTCGTCTGCCTGCTAGAGGAGAATGGTGCAGCGGCCGAAACGTGCTTCTTCGGTGCAGTGTGGGCGACCGAATCCACCTGCTTCGCAGATAGTTCCGTTCTGCAATAAGTAGTACTCATTTGGCGCCATATTTGTGGGTGCTGTTTAGAGTGCATACTCAGAACGAGCCCACATTAATAGGCTGCTAAGAGCGGAAATCTTGAGGGTGCGGAATGCACGTTGCAAAAGAACTCCGGAAGCTCGCCATCAGCACGCGCTCAACAGTCGCACATACAGCTATGGCCGCCAGTGAATACTTCCTATAGGGGCACCTGGCTCGTCTGCTATCACCAGGAACCTCCAGCAGCCAGTCTCGAAGTTTGGAGTCTTGTAGCCAGTCTTTTCTGAACTTTTGAGCCTACTTCACCGGGCCGATTTCACAAAGCAGTGTCAAAAACGCTAAAAGAACATTGGAACATTCATGCTGTTCAAACGTACGCGCACAAACCAGGAAGGCATCTTACGATATTCGACGCCTCAATGTTTTAATGGCTCACAGGCGTTACTCTCACAAACCAGAACATTACTGAGAGTAAGTAAAGACGACTGTGGCTGATTATGGATATGACAGGTGCATAGTTGAGAGTAAATTGATAGAAAACTTCTGTTTTGTAAAAACCCCCACTAAGATTGCATAAAACCGCAAAACAATAATTTATTCCGCTAAATAAAACCAAAAACAGCTACGTTTAGCGGAAAAACCGCTAAATTCGCAACACTGGCGAGGAAGCCGGTAAGGAGCCGGGGAGGCGCGGCGGAAGTCACTTAGCATAAGCTTTATGTTTCGCTTTTCGCCGACGCTGGCTATGGGTTGCGGGGTGTTAGGTTTGCGGCTGGTTACGACGACGAAAACACGCCGAGTTGGCCCAGTACGAGTGTGTGGCTCAGGGTACGAGCAACGGGCCGTTTGCCGCTGTCTACCGGTGATGAGGTATCCTCGGCTTGGTGTCACGATCGGTTTGTTGCCGTGCACATTGGCTTTGCTATGCGGTATGGCTAGTGCGGCTGTCGAATACTTGTGGTGCACATTATTCGAGACAGTCGCCCCAAGAAGTCGCCGTGAATAGTTGACCGAGGAATTTGTGCGAGCTCAACGTCGGTCTATGTTCCGTTTCGACATGTATGGTAAATGTAACGATAACGGTAGTAAATGATGGACGTTTTTTTTTTGGAAGATGGCGGTCGCCTTGCTGCGTGTATGATTTGGTAATACCGGCAGTTCTGTGGTATAAACGTTTGGTTGGAAAAATAACGGTCGCCTCCGGCGTCGGATGCAAAATCATACCAGCCACTTTTTTTTTTTTTTTTCAATGAAAAAATGGAGCTTATTTTCGCCCGTTTTTGGTTTCAGGTGTCATAGAGCCCCATGTATTCGAAAACTCCGTCGGCCGTCATTTTCCCATTGAACTTTTTAGAAAATCACTTATAACTTTTGATTAAGGTATCGGATCGGGCTGAAACTTTGCATCTGGTTGTGACCTCTAGCGCTACCATTGGGCGGAGAATGAGCGTTTGGTGATGCCTAGTTTATTTTTCCGGTTAAAAAAAACTTCTAAATTTTATTTTGGGACACCCTGTACACCCTTTTTTTCGCAAAGCCAATGACGTTGTGTCGTTTACGAGAACGTTTTAATGCGAAATCACCCATTATCCTGACATCTTCGGAATTGAGCGGAGTTTCCCTTTAACAAACATATAGGGTGGTCCAAGTCACCAGGCTCGATCTAAAACGGACCGTAAAAATTGACGCCTGCACTTAGCAACCTAAACTTTTCGTCAAAGGTGTATTTCACAGGTTAGTTTTTTTGTAAAATTACAAAGCATAGCTCTCTGTCTGTAAAAAATAAGGCCAAGAAACTTGCCAGGGTCTACGGCGGGCGACGACCCAGATGACCAAGTCCAGTAGCGGGGTGTGCTTGGCGTTCGCATTGATAGATGGCGTCGGAAGTAGCGTCCGAAGGTGCAGCCGACCAGCGAAAGAAAGGAGACGACACCCAGACGAAATCCGTTGGCAGCAAAAGTGCCGTCGTTATGCAGACGTGTTTTTTTATCTTTATTTTTGTTTTTATTTTCCGCATTTATTTTTTTAACCGAAGGTACTTTTCAAAGATTATGTTAATTTTAATAAACCACGGTGGTCGCGAGCCGTCGCGATAAGGAGGTAGCGCCATCTATCAATACGAACGCCAAGCACACCCCGCTACTGAAGCCCTGTCGTCTGCGTCGCCGCCCGCCGTAGACCCTGGCAAGTTTCTTGGCCTTATTACTTACAGGAAGAGAGCTACGCTTTGTAAAGTTACAGGAAAAAAAACGACCTGTGAAGTACACCTTTGACGAAAAATTTAGATTGCTATGTGCTCGTGTCGATTTTTACAGCCCATTTTATATCGAGCCTGGTAACTTGGACCACCCTATATTAAAAAAAAAAAAATGTGCCGGAAAACTCTCTTTTCATACTTATTTTTACTCTCGCAACTTGGTACCATTTCCGCGCGATGGCTGAAGATGATAAGGGCAAGACAGTTGCGGGTAAACAAATCACGCCACAATTTCTTCGGTGCTGGTATTTGTTTGGTGTTAAAAAATAAAAAAATAAAAAAAGAGAAGGTCTGGTATTGCTAGAGAGCGTGCGCAACAATTACAAAAATCTGCTCTTGCATCGTAGCTAGTGTGTGTTGATAAATACGATGCATTGCCTAAACAGATGTCTCGTAGGTTCAGGACGCTCGCAACTCCAGTCTTTGCGCTGCCTTATTTGCAGTGGGAATATTTATTCAGTTGCTTATTATTGAGGCGAAAGATTAGATAACCTCCGCCGATAAGTGTTTTCTACTGCGTAGGTAACACAAAAAGTCAGCGAAGCAATAACAAGCACTTTATAATCGTTTAAACATGAACTTCGTGTCGCGGGAATCATAGCTTGATTCCTATGACTGTGATATTCTAAGGACATTCATGCTGTGTGAGATTCTAAAATATAACGTTTCTCTATTTAAATGTCTTCATGAGATGCTCCACAACCTTGCTAATTGTTTTAGTGTCGCTGAAACAGTAATAAATATATTTATTTTGACGTGTTTAAACACCAATACTAGGTCTTTGTGTGGAATACAACAAACATCAAACCACTCTAATAAGAAACACAAATACAGCTACGCATGTGAGATATATCGAAATCACGGCTAAATATTGTTCCGTATTTTTTACTTCAGACGGAAAGAGTTTGAAGACCAAGGACAAAATAAGTCGAAATGGTCTTCCAATTGGGCCCTACCGCCTGATAACAGTGCTCAGCAAAAAAAAAAAAAAGGAGAAAAAATATTGTTCTTTAACATCCAATGCACGTGAGATACCTTTAGCCATTTCGAACTTTATAAAGCTTATAAGCATTTTTACATGGACCAATATTTTCTTTAATCTTCATTTTGACAACTGGCGTCAGAAGTTTGATACTTCTTGGGACCACACAGCAGGTCGTAAACGAAATCGCAGGTTGTACTTTGCCCAAGTTGACTCTTCGGAGCGACGACGGTGCAGGCATCTTCTGCATTGTTTTAAGATTTGCGTTAGACAATGTTCATACATGTGCCTAAGAGCTGTGCATTGTATATTCGCGTACTTTCTCATATATACCATATCTTTCCCTTCCGTCGTATTGCCTTTAAAGTCCAGTTCTATTCCTAAGAAATCAAAGTTGTAATAAACAATCATTATATATGCAGTGTTATCACAGAGCTCTTGGACGTCTGCATTGTCTGCTGCCCATTTATGCATCCAAGCGAACAAGCGCCTGCTCAGATAGTACAAACCTCTGGGACAAAATGTGCCTCTTCTCTGGGAGTTTAGGGCTTTAAGAACCCCGATGAGGTCAAAGTTCGTAATGCAAAATGTGACCTTTTTTTTTTGCTAAGAGTCGGCATATCTTTCCCTTAATTCGACAAAAAAATGTCTGAGTTAGGCTTCTCTGTCGGGTTTTTTGGCTTTCATCTGGCATCTTTTGGGTGAAAATCGCCAAATAAGTGTCAAAGTTAGGCTTTCTGCCTGCTTGTTCGGCTGCAATTTGGGATCTTTGACACCAAATCGCCAAACAAGTGCCATAGTTAGGCTTCACTTCCTGATAGTTAGCCTGACATCTGGCATCTTTGGGCACTAATCGCCGCATAAGAGCCAGACTTAGGCTTAATGCTTGGAAGTTCATCTGTCATTTGGTTTTTTTGGATATCGATCGTCAAAGAAGTGCCTAAGTAAGGCTTCTATTCCTGCAAGTTCGGCTGTCATCAAGCATATGTGGGTCTAAAGCGCTAACTTATGCCAGAGTTAGGCTTCGTGTCTTGAAGTTCGGTGGAAGTCTAGCGCCTTTGCTCCCAAACCGCCAAGCAATTCCTCGACATCCAAATCCTCAGTGACATCCTCTTTGCCCATTGAGCCGCTGTGAGCTAGACACGGCTCATTCAAACTTCGCCTTTGTCTACAATGTAGGATATCCTGGACCCCAAAATTGATAAAGGGAACCATTTTCCATTTTCCTTTTTGCTTGTACAGAGCGAAGAGAAAGACGTACAAAGTCGAGATACTCTCGAACTGATTTTTCTGAAATGCTAGAGTAATGCAATCAGGGTACTCCCGTTGGCACCGGCTCATTTATGTTTGGGGATAAAGAATCGATGAGTTACTGGTAAGGTGCGGGTGATTGCGTCTTGATTAAATATAGACTGAGTTGAATTCTGCTCCCAACTCTTTATTTTATTTTGGGTTTCTCGTGATTACCATAACTCTGAGGTGGTCGGAATGTATTGCCGTGGTGTGACGAGACAACGCTGATTTTGCAAACGCAGCAGCGGGTTTTTGTGCTCGCGGGTGGGTGCACACGCCAATGTCCGGTTCGAGGGTTACACATTTTTAAGCGAGGTGCCGTGAGATTGGTTCGACGTTATCGGAGCTGCTGATATCGAGATAGTGCTGCGCGGGACGGAATCCGCAGGTCTCCTCAACATATTTCATTATCAGCCGAGGTGTTGCAGACACGAGCGTAGCTGTGCGACTGTTTTGCATTTATCAAAGCTGAATGCTGGGCTAGTTGGTATTGGTCTTGGGTTGCCAAAGGCATGATAGCGCTTTTTTGGACGAGGACAAAAGAAAGAAACACAAGACAGACACGAGCGCTGTGATTGATTGTGATTGATGAGTGTTTAAAGCTGCCAATAGAGAAAACGAAACAACAATAAACAAACACGCGCTTGGGGCTTTGTAGTCTGGAATCGAAGTAGTGGCGGAAGTCCGGTTTCTCTGTCTTTTTTAATGCTAGCTTTCGTTTTTCGTTTGTGTGTGCGTGTGTGTGTGTGGGGGGGGGGGGGGAGGGTCATTTGGCTATATCAACAAGGGTGACGACATCTAACAATCGTGCTTCGATCGCTTCTTTTCTTTGTGTCCTGGAGCGAACGAAATAGCACTCTCGTGGAAAACCAGAGAAAAGCTAAATTTCGGCTCGCTTTGGAGCTTTCTTTGGCAATTTTGGCATATATCTGACAATCCAGTCGCTGACCAGAAAAATGCCAAACCTTGGCATGCACCAGAATCGTTACTACATTAGAATTTTTTCGCAGTTATGACTCACGTATGGCGCTCACTTTGACACTCATGTGGTGGACCAGAGAAAACTAAACTGGCATGGACCAGGATCGCCAACTAACCAACTAACCAACAGTGCCAAGTACTTTGGCACTGACATGCGTTATGAATCAAAACCTAACTAAGGGTATGTTAAACCCCTACGTTTGTCACAGTTTTGCCCCTGAATCGTGAAATTATAAATAAATATTTTTTTATGTTATTCGTTTTATCGAACTATTTAACACTATATACCAGGGGTGGCCAAGCTGCGGCTCGCGAGCCGCATGTGGCTCTTCGTGTATTAAAGTCCGGCTCGCGGCTCCTGCCCCTCCTACCCCCCCCCCTCCCCACACACACACACACACACTCCCCTGCCTCACTCCCGGTCACACGAGCACTTCCCCAAAAAAGAGAAATGGAAAGCGTTTGAAATCGTCAGGCTGGTTGCGGTTTGGTTGTCTTGTGCTACTGCTACCTTACGTTACGTACAGTTCGACTGCTTTTGACTCGGATAGATTGAGAGTAGTTCGAGCTCTGTTTACTGCTCTGAACCAAAGTTTACCCCGCCCCCTCTTGTGGCTCTTGGAAGTTTCATGGTTTTGTTTGCGGCTTCTTGGCCGGGTCAGCCTGGCCGCCCCTGCTATATACCCTTCGAGGTGGTCTGTCAGATTCATCATATTAGTTTTGGAACTCGTCATTTAGCACTAGAACACTATTTTTTTAATATCACCAATCAAATTAATATGTTAAAAAGGTAGTCATACCCTTAACGTAGATGCTTCTGTAGACAGTGCATTTTCCAACATCCATAAACGACAAGTATAGGGGTAGTGAATCTTCTTCTGAAATGTAGCAAGTGTGGAGAACAGTGCGTACTGTAATATATTTTAAAACAAAGTAACATTTATGATGTGTGGGCCATCAGTCTGTTGTTCGAGAACTTTTATGGACACTTAAGGGTTGATGAACACATTGCAGTCTCAATGCCGACCTTAACTTTTTTCTGTACTGTATTGTTGTTATGAAAACTTTCGCAGACTAAGTACATGTCCAAAACAGTGTTTTAACAATGTTGCTGCTGGTGATTACGGCATAATAATATTAAGCAAAACATGATACGATTGCCCTGGTGCACCATCTGACTACTTTCACAACGAAGAGACTGTTCTGTAGGGACAGCTATGATGAAAGCATGTCCATGAACTTTGAAGGGGGTGCACTTATTGTTCTTAAGAGAGATCGTGCTTGCTGTCCGCTCATTTGACCTTGGATTTATAAAGGGTTCTGTCTGAATAGAAATACCTTATGATAAGTTCAGCTTGCTCATTGGCGTGATTGGTTTACCATCATACCTTGAGTTCACCAGGTTTTTGAAAAAATAAGCCTATTTTGTGATAAACTCGATCTTGCTAGGTACCGGAATCATTAGTCTTGGAGATTTTAATGTACGCCTATAAAATGTTATTTACAATAATTTTCATCGTGGTCTATTTGAATCACAAGTAGGACGAATGCTTTACTCAATTGTATTACCTTTATGGATTGAAGCAATATATAATTTTAAAAATCCAGCGTGATATGTGTTTGATCCCGCGTTAGTAAACTTTAAAGTTCACAGTCTCATCCAGACTTCCAACCCAGTTGTTACACCTGATGTTTGGCACATTTCGTTTTTAAGTTTATTGTGTTTCGTGTAAAAATACAAATGTTACAGGCTAAGACTCATTCGCTCTTAACAAGGGTGACTCTTAGCCTTTTCAAAACTTTAGACAGTGAGTAGCGCACGAAAATGTAAACCAACATACGTAACTCTATGCTACTTGCTAAATTTAGCATATAAATAGGTTGCAATTGAAAACGAGCGTGTTGGTTAATAGATACAAAACTTGAAAGTATAAAATAGAGAGGACGAGGACGTCCTGTTCCCGTCCTCGTCCTCTCTATTTTATACTTTAGAGTTTTGTATAAATGGGTTTCGCGTAGACTATATACATCAATTTAGTTTCCCCGTTATATCTGACGGTGAATTTAAGCTCACATACCTTGTACATCAATTCAGCTTCCCCTCTATATTGTCACGAATGACAATTGACAAGGCGACGAATGACTGATGGAAACAAACGTTTAGTTGGGCGAACGTGCGCCAAGAATAAAAGAGTAGGCTAGCGTTGCAGGCGTCGATGGCGACGTAACAGCAGGACCCACACCTGGGGCGAGAGTGACTCCATATGGAGTGGCGCGGCTTCTTAGAGCCCAAGATATTCTGCCTCGACCTGGACCTCGAACTATACATTCTCGACCTCGACCTCGAACTATACATCCTAAAAATAAACATGCTGGCCAGTTGTTCAACCTTCCCGAATGTTTGATTTACATAAAAAGGGGTGAAAGATCATGCGATGCAGGATATCAAACCCGGGGCACCTCCATGTGATTCCAGCGCGCTGTCGTCTCGACTATCTAATCTCACGGCAATGTGGTCACGGATCAAGGCGACGAGAGGAAGTACAATGGACTGAAAATAAAGGCTTAATCGGCGAAATTGTGCCAACACAATTAAGAACCAGCGTCGGGGCGGCAGGAAAACAGGCCGCGATTTGGCGGCCTGTGAAAGTTTGACTCAATGCTATTGGCTGCTGTAGTGGTCGCCATTTCGGACCCTCTTAAAGCTTTGAAGCTTTAAACGGGTCGTCAAAACTAGTTGCACCAAGATCACTATGGAGCATAATCGTACTGAAAGCGTTTCTCGGCCAAAAGGAGTGTCTTTGGCACTTTGCATGCAACGAAGGCATCACTCTTGCTTATTTCCCCGGATCTCGTGTAATTATGTTGCTCTTCTTGCGTGCTTCAAGACGGTAAAATTATTTTTCAATGCCTCCAGCCATTGACGTTGCGTGTGATGGCGGTACAAAGATGTACGTCATCACACGCGGCGTCGGTGCTTGGGCGCATTGAAAATTAATTTTTACTGTTGAAACGCGCAAGAAGAGCCACATAATTATAAGAGATCTGGGGAAATAAGCATGAGTGATACGTTTATTGAATGCGTAGTGCCATGGACACTCCTATTAGCCGTGGAACGCTTCGAGTACGATGATGCTCTATAGCGGTTTTGGTGCGACTGGTTTAATGACCCTTTCGAAGCTTCAAAATTTTGAAAGGGTCCGAAATGGCGATCACCATGGAAACCAGCAGCGAAAAGCTAATCACTTTGAGAGGTCTTGTCGTCCGTATGACGGTATTTGTTTGTGTTCGGCTAGCAGATTGGAAGGCAATGGCGCTACTTTCCCAGATCCAGTGACTTTCATGCTGACGCGGTGCCTCAAACCACGACTTCGCTTTCCCACACATTATAGTCGGTTGAACTTCCGGCTGTTTTTTGCGACTAGGTTTATGTTCGGGCAACGGGGGAAAAATGCTGATCGTTGATCATATCGAGACCCGCTGTAGTTTCGAAAGGTGCTTGAATTAGTTTAGCTTCTAGTTATGGTTAGCTTTAAAGTTTTAAATGGTCCTATTTAACCACACCTGCTTTGGCTTTCGGATATAAGACGCAGTATTCTTTAAATATCTTCTCACATGATTTACATAGCTTTTCATAATATATCGCTCGCTCCTTATATTTATTTAATCTACAGTCACGTTATCATCCTATCTAGGATGATAACATGAATATACATTTATAACGGCATTCATTTGACTCACAACATTTTCCTTAAAGCACGCGTGAGTTTAATTCAACGTTACTAAAACACTCAGTTGGGAAACTCACATAGAGACAGCTTTGAAAAACAGGACCCAATCTGTCTCCGAGCACCGAGCTAATGACGAACACAACGCCACCATTTCTCCCGCAGCGGTCACTCGAGGAACTGCACGTGACTTCTATTTTGGCTTTAAGAACGGATACAGCGGAAGAGGTTACAGGGGTGCCACCCCCGTCTCCCCGGCGGACGCGCCGCGTCGACCTACCGATGTTAAATTGCACCTAGGTCGGGACGCGCTACCTGAAAGCCCCGTTGAGGCATGGTTGTATAAAAACAATATTAATTGTGCCGCAAAACCCTGCAAACTAAAGATTTTAAAAACATAACGCGCCCCTCTTTTTGTACTAAACTCCAATAAATTTCATACAAAAAGAGTCTTTTCCGTTTGTTTCTGCACAAAAACAGGCTTTCAAAAAGCTCAAGGTGACCACAGTACAAACAAACGATAAGGAGTGGCGCTGTTGTCGCATTTAGCTCGGTCTCCGTGGACGCCAGCGGCCCAGATTTCGACGGCGAGTTTCCCAACTGAGTGTTTTAGTAACGTTGGTTTAAGGCAATCATGCCCGGTGTATTAATTATTATGCGTATTGGCTGAAAGCGATTTATATCTACTGAAATATTAAAAATTACGTTTTTATTGTGAATGCAAAGAGTATCACATTTTGGTTTTACTTGAGGATACTGCAACCTTCTTAGTTAATAGAAGTATACTTACGGCCCTCAGGGACAAAGTTTAACTGATTCTTGGAAGTATATCCTTCAGTCGACGCAAGCGTGAATAGCGCATTCCTAGTGACCAAGGTAAATAGGATTAGAGTATTATTATTTAAAGAAGCAGGACATTTAGGAGGAAAACAAGTAATTTATTTTAATAAACAGCAAATAGCTCCAGTAGTAAATATGTGCCTGTTCAGTAAATCTAATGTAAAAAAGGAACCTCGAAAGTGAAAGCTTAGGTAAATCTAAGATTTATCACTCTAACAAATTCATTTATCATAAAACAATACGATACGTATTACAATTATACAACTATCCCTCACTGCTGCTAGAGGTAGTTGATTTTTGTTTTAAGGTATGCATCACAGTAACTATACTCTTCATCTAGTGAGAGTTGGATATCTGCACTCTTACCTTCAATTCTTGCTTTATTGAGCGAGCGAAAGAGACATAGCCATCCCTTTGTTTTACCTTTTGCCGGACGAATTTACCCGCAATATATTTCTTACGCTTTGCGGATGGATATTGAGAAATACAGGCATCCGAATTTACCTCGCTGCTGAATTCACGAAAACGAATTAAGTCTTTGAATACCCATTGACCAAACTAATATTTGCATCTCTGATCATTTGTGTTAAATTTACTCGTCCACCAAAGAAAAACACACATTCTAAAAAAATGAGAATGGAATTCTGTATTACAAAACATGTGTAAGGTATTTAGTTAGATAAACCTAGATTTTGGTGTAAATAGGCTTTATGTGCGTAGCGTAATGCTATTATATTTCGACGAAATGCCATTTGTAATCAATAGGTTGATCGAATCATTCATAGTTTTCAAAGGCTTTCAGCGATTAATGCGTCTCAAGCTTTACTTACGCCGACTGTGGCTCCTCTCCATACTCAATTAAAATATGGTATCCACCCTCCTCTTCAGGTCCCACCTGGGAGAATCTTACGCATTTAGAAGTCCCGAAGTTTGGGTCTTCCTCGTAGTTTCTGTACAGCATGTACCAAGTCTCGGTAAGTGGGAACCCCTGCAGGCATTAATTCCGGAAAATTGAATTAATATCTGAGTACTCGTTATATTAGTTAAGGTATGTTAGAATTCGCTTTTTCTTGTGCTCAGATGTAACAAGATGATAGTGTCACGTACGCAAGCCACATTATGTTTTCGATTCTCTGAACTTGATTTTTTAAGATGACCGAGACCTAACCATATTTGGGCATGAGTAAATATGTCCATCAGAAACAGCAGCCTGTTAAATGAAGTGATCTGAAAATAATACACTTGACGATTTTAATTAAGAAGAAACAATCTTGTACGCGGAAATAAATATTACACAAGTTATATATCAGATAAATTGCATAAAATGATATTTCGTTACTAATTTTAGACAGGTTGACCAGTAAATACCTTGGGTATATCCTGGTACATTTCAAGATCTGGATTGAGCTCGGGGAAATTCGAAGTTGATCCACCGCCATGAAGAATCAGGATAGTTGCAAATGTAATGACGGTCTTTGACATAGTTCGTGTGACTTATAGCTGAAGTATTTGAACACTTCACATTTACCTGTATAACGCGAATGCAGTAGTGTTTATGCGAGGTTTTATAGCTGATCTCGACAGGGATCGTGTACTCTAATTTGTACTTGGTTTCTTATCCGAAATGTACGAAGTCGCGGAACATGCGTCATTATAATTAAATCCACCCCTGAACAAATGCCAGTAAAGATGCAAATGATTTATGTTTGACTTTTGCGTCCACCTAAAAATATAGTGAAATTAAAAGGTGGAGGCGTCGTTCCCCTAACTGCCTGAGTAGTTAGAAAAAATACTTCAGCTATACATATTATTAAAACTCAAGTTTCCCTTAGTGGAAACGTTAAGAACAATAAACGGTGTAAAGAATAGGCCACTTTTGTACATTGTGACGCTAATGATTACAAATGACTCAGTCTTAATGAGTTTTTAGCTTTTCCATTTTGTGCATACCGCATGCACATGCTCTATTTTGCCGTTAAGTGTCTTCATGCTACATTATTTACATTTAATGAGCGGTGCCTCAGCCATGATAATTGTTGGAAATATTGCAGGATGTGCGGAGAACACCCATGGAACATGCATGACTGATGCGAAGAGATATACATTGGTCGTAGTTCACTTCTAGCTTGTTTAAGCTATATAGGGAAACATTTGTTTATAAACTTGTTTCTTTAGCTCAGCAGGTATATTTAACCTAAAGCTGAGGAATTATAGTTCATTTATTTTATCACGCTATTAAAAAAAAACAGCTTAAGCTGGTTTCAGCTTCAAGATCGGTTATTGCTCCAGCATGCCAGATTGGCATGCTGGTTGATCTGGTCCCAGCATCAAGCTCGGTTATTGCTCCAGCATGCCCAGTTTGGCATGCTGGTCATGGTGGTTGATCTGGTCCCAGCTTCACGCTGGGTTATTGCCCCAGCATGCCCAGTTTGGCATGCTGGTCATGCTAGTGGACTTCCCAACCAGTTTAACCTTTTTAAATTAATACACAAAATAAACAAGCCAAGCTCTTCAGGAAAGCCAAATCGGCCTCCAATTTATTATTTTCGTACTTGAGGCCTGCTCACAAAAGCTCAGATGCTACAGATCCTCGGCGCTGACACAGTACATTCCCGACGCACAGACAGCAGTTTTTCGGTGCAAAACAATGTTTTTTTAAAACTAGACTGCTTATCTCTCAACACGAAAAATACTAGACACATGCTAAAATCAGGCAAGAACAATAAAAGTACTACACGGATGAGAGAAGCGAGCCTGGGCTGCGGCAGTGATGGGGGCGAAGCGGCGTCTTGCGTAGTCGGCAGAGGCGAGGAAATCCCTGTGGCTTGGATTGCATTGTCGATACTCCTCGGCACCACCGTCATTCACGAGCGCGCACACGTTCGAAGACACGAAGCGACGCCTCAGTCGGGGCGTCCGACTTGTTCCCCTGCTGAACGGATTGCCGCTCGCTGTCTCCTCGATTCCCGCTTCGCTTGCACCGCCGTTCAAGTAGTCTCCAAACAACGCGCAGACAGCCGTCCCTTCGAAAATCTGCTCAAGACCCTTCGTGGGAAACATACTTGCGTGTGAAAGTGTCAAAAGAAACCAGTGACACTAAAATAAGGTTATTGCATTTAGAACAAAAAGACCCTGCAAAAAAAAAAAAAAAGCGTGTGACGCCATTAGCGAGGGAGCCGGGGTCTGGTCATGAGGAGAGTGCAGCAGTAGATGGCTCCGTTTTTGAGCTGGATGCACTAGCGACGCAAGCGCGCCGTGACGAAGCATTCCTTTTTTGAGCCAACACGCTGAGGAGGACGTTGAGGTATGGGGCATAATATCAAAAGCTGATCCAATTGTTCTCCAATTTGTATATCTAACAAAAAAACCGGAATATTCTGTCAACCCCGACAAATCTTCCACCATAATGCAGACTGGCTTCTGGCGAGAAACATTCCCGACATCTGTACGTTTGAAACCGTACTTTTTTAGGAAACCATAAATATCAATACTAGCTTGAAATTAGTCTCCAAAGCATCCAATAATGCTCTGCAGCAATGTTGCCTTATTTTTGAACAAGAAACAATGCCGGTGCATGGTCTGTACTCCATTGACCCTTCAGCTGAGACTAGAAGCTCCGCCTACAACGCGAGCATTCCGCCCTTGATAACACAACTGTAAACGCGCAGGCATGCGTAACCAAAGCACTGCGGAAGCCACCGAGCTCGCGCTGAAGGCGGAGCTTCTAGTATAAGCTTAAGATGGTTTCGCAGCTGAATTAGAACTAAAATAGGGATTTTTTACGATTCCAGGAGGCACCACCGTTAGGACTCCGCGAGTGGCGAAAGACCGATGAAGAGATAAAGAAAACGACCCTGTCTTTTGCTCAATTTATCTTGAGACGCTTCACCTGGAAACAAAGGGGCTGGGTTTGGGGAGCGGGGGATCAGGTTGTCCCGTTTTTTTTTCGGATCAGGCAGAAAAAAGGCGAACACTGCTGGAGGGGGAGGCATTGTGGTATTTCGTCTGTTCTGTTTGTGTTTGCTGAGTTTGGACTGAATGCTTGGAAACATAAATGTTGTCGTAACACATGTTTTGAATGCCCCGCGCCCCGAAACTCCACGGAACGTATGTTTTCCCAGCAAAGATTATACTTCGAAGTCAAATAAAATCAGATTTCAATTTATATTACCCAAAATGTATGATGTACGGAAAAACGAAAAGCCAAAAAGATATGGCGCTATTGTAAGAGCATATCATTTATATAAAAAAAAAAAAAAAACCTTAGTTGCGTCATCTAAATTATTTCCTATAGCACCGAAATTCTATTTTATTTCCACGTTCGACTACAGAGCAGATGATACAGCAAACGTGTCCTCAGTTAATCGCTGTTGCCTCAATATAAGTGGCTTCGAGCGCTGATTGAGGACATTTTCTCATATTACATCAGGGCGCATAAGCCAGAAATAGATTCAGTCTCGCAGCATCATAACTAAAGTCAAATACCGATGGGGAATAAACGATACAAAAACAATCCCTGACATAAGGAGCTTATATGTGTAAGTACCTCTTCTTATGAGTGTACAACATTCTCTCGTTGTTGGGGACTAGTTGCACTTACGATTTTCCTGCGTTCTCATTCTTCATTGAGTTCAGCAATATCGCGACTGTATTTTTTGAATGCGGTATATTCGAATTTGTTTTGTTTTTTTACATCTCCTGAACGCTGAAGCGTTTTGCGAAAGATTTATTTTACCGTTGGCAGCAACACCCCACGTAAGCTAGATTTTTCCAGCTTCGTTATTAATTTTAGCTGCGACTGCGAGCTTCGTTGACCGTGGCAGGGTTAGCGACTTTTTTCAAATGCTGCGAGTCTGCACCAATTGCCATCGCATTTTAGTTGAGCATCCGACAAAGCGTCATAAAGGCAGAAAGATCGCGCTCGAAGTGGAGCCTAGTTTCTGCTTCATAACTTTCGGTGGCATTTGAGAAGTGAAGACTACGTGTGCACAACTTTGATGGGTGCTCAAGATGTACAACCGCACGGCCACCTAAAACTTTGACCACATAGTCGAAGAAAGTTGTCTGCAAGTATGTGCAGTTACGCTACAGAGTAGCTTCATGGTGCTCAAACTCCACACGGCTGCAAGAGCGCGTGACGTGTTTTTTTTGTGTCTCATCCGTAAGGGTATACGCCACTCTTGGCAAAGTAGAACCTACACACATTTTGTGTACAGTGGGAGCCAGTGTCACCTTACAGGGGCAAACTGAGGTCGCACTCTGTAGACACTTGCATCTACTTTGAATCTTGCTCGCAGACCGCCGGTTGCTTTGCGTGCACACTGCGCGCCATTTTTAGCACGAACAAAGGTACCCGCAAATTTTCGGATTTTATTCCGAACGAGCAGTCAGAGGTGTTCATTTTCACCACTCATGTAAGTCATCCAGAAGAGCACTTCACGTCGCACTAATAAATTCTATTGAAAAAAAATATTTAATTAAAAAAAGGCAATCGTTTTTTTTTTTCGCTAAGAGAGCAATGCTATGTACTCGGATTGAGTCACACCTCCGGAACCTTTCTTCGAGCAAAACCGCAAAATCGCAAGACGGTCCTACATCTTTGAACGCATTATAATGTAGTATTTGACCCAAAATACGGAAACATCGCACTAAAACAAATGCTGAAAAACTTAATGCAATGCGCGCTTGCGTGAGTGCACGTTAAATGGTCGTTATCAGTGAAAGTTTTAGTCACGAATCCGGATGGCGTGGGAAATCGAAAGACTATTCTAACCTTTTTTTTTCCTAAATATTAAACTCGTTGGCACCGATAATTTTGCGAGGCGAAGTGCATGAGTCTGTCAAAGATTACTACATTTTAATGTTGCCGAAACATTTCTATGTCCACGGCTGGGTTTGCGCTGTAAATGCGGCGTGCTTGTGCAATCTCTTTTCTTATCTTTTTCTTTTTTTGAAAAAAACATTAATTTCTTGATTCTGCCAGCCAAGATAGGATCGTGTGAAAGATTACCGCCGTTCAATGTTTTCGGATAATTTCAAATTTCACGGCTGTTTTTGCACTGAAAATGTGGCGTACTTGTGGTGCGGCATATTTTTCATGATATATTTCGCTGGATTATTATTATTCTCGACAGCGTGGGGAACCGAGGTGACGCTTTCACACTGCGCTTTTTTCGACTCGAAAGGTATTTCCACGCTGCTTGTTCTCTGAAGGATGCTCCAAGGTGACGCTAATCCCCTGCGCTTTGGCGAGGGCACCGTGGTGCTTGGAAACGTTTGCTAAGTCCCCCGAAAAGAAAATTCAAAGAGGGAAAGGAGGTTGACCGTGAAATGGGAAAGAGAGGAACTCTCATCTCTGGTTTCACTTTACGATGTAAAGTAGCGCACGCTACGAGCCATTTTAGCCAATCGAGTGATTCGGAGAGACAAGTGACTTCACGCTTCGCGCGTCGCTCCTCAAAACCGAAAGGGCACGTGACACA